GTGGGGCTTCCTTGCACTCCCGCCGGCCTTGCAGGTCCACCGCCGGGCCCCTCATGGGGCTCGGCAGTGGAGCTGCAAGGCCGGCAGTGGCAGCCGGGACCGTTGGGGGCGGGGTGTGTGGCCTTATGACACACTTCCGGTGATGTCAGGGGGTGTGGCCTTATGACACACTTCCGGTGATGTCAGGGGGTGTGGAATATGCTAATGAGTTATGCTAATGAGTTCCCCTAGCTCTTTTTCTACGAAATAACCCCTGATTGGAACCCCGGACTTCCTTGGTGGCCTCCCATCCAAATACTAACCAGGACTTCCGAGATCTGAGATCAGGCTGGCCTGGACTATCCAGGTCAGAATGCCACTGAGGGGGGGGGGATCAAAAGTTGGAGATGACTCTTGGATTCACGCCATGGTTGTGGGCTTCGGCGGGAAGAGATCAGCTTGGAAAGGGAATGCTGGACCAGACAAGACTTTGATCCAGAAGGGCTCTTCTGGAACGTGAGGCTTGAACAGAGCGAAGAAAATATATGCTAAAGGAGAAGCACCTTGAAAGACAAGACCGCTTCTTCGGGAAGCTGGAGTGGGTAACAGGCCTGGTCCTTCAGGTTGCCATCCTCCAGGTGGGACCTGGAGATCCCCTGGAATGACAACTGATCCCCAGACTACAGGGACTGGCTGCTTAGGAAGGTGGACTCCATACCCTGCTGAGGTCCCTCCCCTCCACAAACCCCACTCTTCTCCAGCTCTGCCCCCAAATCTCCAGGAATTTCCCAACCCAGAGTTGGCAACCCTGGCGAAACCACCTCTTTACCTCCCTTTGCTAGTATATTTGTAAATAAAGCAACTCGGACAAAGGGAGCGTGAGTCTCTGGCACTCTTTCTCCTCCAGAGGAAACTCAGATTGAAAGTGTTGCCCTGCCCCCCCACCCCTGGACTCTCACTACTCAGGGACTGGGCCTCTACAGCTTCATTCCGTATGCATGGATATGCCGGGCTTTTTGTACTGAAAAGCAGCTGAAACTTTAAAAAGCAGGGCAAGCCACAAAATTCAAAATCTCAAGATGCTCCCGGGTATAATTAGGAAGGGGAGAGAAGGTTTGCTTCCCTATAGATCTTGCTTCCTGCCTCTAACCCCGCCAGGGCTGCTGTCACAGGTGGCTTCAGTAGACATGGAAACACATGAAGCTGCCTCATGCTGAATCGGAATATCAGTCCACTAAGGTCAGGATTGTCTACTCAGACGGGCAGCGGCTCTCCAGGGTCTCAGGCGAAGGACTTTCGCATCGCCTCCTGCCTGTCCCTTTTAACTGGAGATGCCGGGGACTGAACCTGGGACCTTCTGCATGCCTAGCAGAGGCTCTGCTCCTGAGCCACGGCTCCTTCCCCATGCAATATAGGAGTCATTCGCAACTGGATTTCCCTGGGGGGAAATCTAGGGGGAAATAGTGCACTGAGAGTGCATTAGCCAGTGGTGTGAAAGCACAGTCTCTGCAACGCCAAGCCCCGTCCAACCTCTCTTCCCACTCTCCTTCTTCTGCTGTTCTCTGTCCCTCGATTCATATTATGCCCTCAAAGGGGGACGGCTGCTTCCCTCCCCAGCAGCAGGTGCCTCGAGCTCAGCTGCCCATGCCGACGGTTTCCAGTGGCTGCTACTCACCCCGGTTTCAGAAGAGCATCTCGGGTGCTAGGAAGACCCCCTCGTGGATCCGGCGCCTGCCTCCCAAGAGTCCATCCTGGCTACCCAGAGTGGCACCCACAAGCAGTCGTGCCTGGTTCCGTGCCCGCCCCCGACCTCGCCAGGTCTGCCTCAGCAGAGAATGGAGGAAGTCGATCTGTTTTGGAGAGGAAACTTCACATGAAAGAAAAAAAGAAGATTGACATGAAAGCCTCAGACGGTGGCCCACATCCGGCGCTGCCAGGAAAAGTTTAACGGGCTGTTGACTGATGGCAGCAGAGGAAGGTCACAAACATGTGGGCTGCTGAGATCTCGCCCAGTACGATTTTCTCTTTTAAATGACAAGCCCCTGACACTTTGAGATGCAAGTGAAACACCGGCATTCTGTTCATGCAGAAGGGGAAACCCACCTGCCATACATTTTGGGAATGTGGTTTGTATGATGGCATAAGTATGAAAACTGGCAATGTATGGCTTAGGCAAGCAAACTCCAGGAGCGTATGGGGGTAGGGGTGGACATTACATGCCATCACTTGATGTTGTGACATCACTTCCAGTTGTAATGGGAAGTGATGTCACACCTCGCCAGGACACCCTAGCAATCCCCCCCCATGCTCTATGGTTTGGGGTGATTGCTAGAGCATCCCAGCAATGTGTGAAGCTGCCCAAATTTCTCCCACTCCTTCTTTGGGGGACAGGGTGTAGGGACAGGGAAGTTTCCCACTCCAGGAGAACTGTTCACCGTAGCGTGGAGTTTGCACATGGGTAGAGTTTCCATTCACACAGACCAGAACCCTGATCTTCCAATAGGCTGAGAATAGGTCATATGATACAGCATGACCCCAATAAAAGCTTTCAGATCCAGGGTGGTCTTTAAGCAACAGAAAGGGGGCATGGAGGAGGCAGAGGGGATTGGATTAATGCCCTGACCTTCACTTGGAGTCTTAGAGCGGT